GAACGACTGCGACCGTTTGGAACTAGTCTTGTAAGACAATGTCCCCAGGGGCTCTTCGTGCCCTAACTTGAAATCTACCCACAGCCTCTGGGGATTAATATAATCCCGAGATATCTTTACGATGGCAAAGTTGCTGCTCGTAGTTATTACCATGAACTTAAAGAGTCTAACTTGTTTACAAAGGAAAGAAAAAGTACGACGTGAGTGTGTGCATCCTGTATTGTATTTTGAACCGCGAGCATCAATCTTTGGGACAAGATTTTCTCTCCAATTGGTTTATAACCTTAACTATATTAAGTTGATATATTTAGTAGATATTACCAGTTTGTTTTTCAACTCACTCGATAGCGGCGTGAGTCAGTCCCATGTTCAATACTTTTGACGCGAAAAGGTGTTGGCGGCTGTTTGGCATTGATAATGATGACTCATTTTCTTTTTTTCTTTACAAGACTAAGATATAACGGACTCATCTGACCAGATTCCCTTTTTTGAATTTTCATTAACAGTTTCTGTATTGTTTTAAGGCACAGAATGTGAAGTTCCTGTTCCGTCGACTACTGAGCTGTGACAACCACAAAGGGAATCTTTTCAGCAATGAAGGCACACCTACGAAAGTACAAAGGTCAATTATTCCCACTCAAATTTTCTTCATTTTCTCAAAAGTCGTACAGAATTTAAATAAATATTTAAACTTGTCATAACACAGTAATCTCTACTTTAGTTTCACTCTCTTCTTATTCTCGTTGCCCTATCTCAGTTGGTTGACGGTGTCCGGAAAGAAAACTCAACTTTGTAAAAACATTATTCCGCAATCAAGCCAGGGCATCCTTAGGCAGCGCAAGTGAAGGGCTTTCTTACCAAACAAGCTCTTTTCTCCCTTTTCACCAGCCATCTTTCACTCAAATTCCAGCAGCTATGACGCAGTTGATTCACAAACTTTTCGAGTGCCTATTACCTTGCCCGCAAAACCGATAGTTATTGGGGTCAGTTGCTTTTATAAAATATCCATAGGTTTATCAATTAAATTCCTGACCGACCAGAGCGCGTGTAGTATCTCAACTTAATCATAAAAGTCATTGACTCCCTAGTCTTCGTCCACTAGATTCGAGATTTTCGTTCAGCGCACGAAGTTAGGAAATTAGATTATTACAGGCCTGTACGTGATTCGAACCACTGACCTCTGCGAAACTAGTGCAGAGCTCTACCAATTGAGCTAACAAGCCAACTGGGAGCAGGCCGTTGAGTTGTATTTAATGTATTTAATAACGCAGATCAAAATGTATGAACTTCATACATTTCATTGTAACTGGTAAGTTACAATGATGGAAAGGCTGTTTTTACTGTGACTCGTTTATTTTGTTTCACGAGTATTACAGTAACACTATGACAGGGTTTACCTTCATAGTCCCTTCCTACTACTTTCTTAAAGTATCTCTTAAGATATCTTCTAGTACGTGGGTGTTTATTATGAGGTACAAATTTGTGAGGTTGAGCGATAGTTATCTGTATTAGTTTGGCAATGTAATCTACATGGCCTGACATCCAGTAGGTTTTATCTTCCTCTACTGGCATCATGTGCTTTCGCACTTTCTCAATCTCTATCACTATCCCGTTGCGCCACATAATCGCACGCGAACTAAACCGGTGTATCGAAGGGTTTATATATCGATCAAGCCTCTGTCTACGCATGCGTTAAATCTTTTGGAATGAAAGAATCCTCGCGCCATTTTGATTTCTCGAGCTTGCTATGGCAGGTTTCTCTGGGTGATCTGTTACTCTTCTAGGGAATATCATGGAACGAGATGAAAGAAAGTTAAATACCTACATACATTTCTAACGCTCTGGGTACTTCTGGAGTTGTCTTCGACTTCCCATGAAAAGATTTTTTACGATCAAACTGCCTAAAAACAGCTAAGAAATAGCAAGAAATTGGCAAATCAACGGGACTAAAATTAACATCAGCTGATCTCCGGATGTTCCCACAAGTGCCAAAGCAATTAAGGTGAGTCTGAAGACCTTAGAATTTGTGTTGTGATAAACTTGGTGTGTGTATTTTAAGACAATCGTAAGGCAGAAGGCCCCTTTTAACGGGAGAATTTGATGTTATTCTGAATTTGAATTAGCTTTGGAGTCAAATTTCTATAAATCCTACTTGTGCCCCAACTTAAAAATACTGCTATTAATAGGGTCTTTACCTTTTCTTTACAGCCGCTGAGGATTGCAGTCTTTAAAAAATGTACAGCAACGAGGATTAAAACTTTATTGCGAGCAGTTTTGGTGCATTTTAACGGAGNATAATAAACTCTTGGAACCTATCGAGTGACTGAGTTTGCCTTTTTACATGTGAAGCTACATTGTCAAACACAACCATTAGCACTTCCAAGGAAGGTAGACCGGTATAGAAGCGAACCTTCTCGTCAGAGTCAAAGAACTCTTTATCCGGTGCCCGATACGTGCTTTTTTGAAACATGTATTCTAATTCGGTGGTTTGGCATTCCGAATCCTTTAGCTCTGTGTCTGCTTGGCACTCGGCATCTCTCATAATTTGCGTTCTGATTTCATCAGACTCACTGCCTTCATCACATGCCGTAAGGTCACCGGAAAAGGCATCTTCGTTTCCAGTTTTTTCTTCTTCTGTGGAGGTGCTTGGCTGATTAAAGTCGATCTGGGCCACAGGAAGACTGCTTTCGATGAGTTTCTGACGCTTCTCTGCCGCTTCGTGTTCTTGTTGCTCGATGGCGTGTTTCTCTCTTTTCTTCGCTCTTTCTTGCCTCTTTGCTCTCGCTTCATAGTCTATCTCACGGCCATAACTTTTCTTTCCGAGCTCTAAAGTTGGCACCCAATCTACATTGTGCTTGTCCCAGTAAGGAGATGGCTTTCCAGAGACAAAATGCTTGCCGCATACTCGTTCGCTTTTGAGAACGTCTTTTGCTTTTGTGTCGCCCCGACTTATCGCTTGTATCCACTTTTCTCTCCTCTCTGTTGTCAATTCTTCTTCGAAGGTAGACTTATTTTTGATAACTGATGGTATTCGATAAAATCCAATCCCTTTCTCCCGATCGCTTCTACTGCCACAGCCGAAAACTACACAAAGAACCATTTCTACTATCTCACGTTCACCTTACTATTAAGCGCATTTGTAACTATTTGTTTGGGCACCAACATGGCGACATTCGCAACATTCGCTCCGACGAAGTGCTAACGCTCGAAACGTCAGCTGTTATAATCGTAACGGTGGCCAACTCACCATTTCAACCTTCTTTTTCTCAGTTCGTGAGCGGGCGGCATTCTACAAATCGTGCGATCTGATTGGTACCGAAACCGGGCAGTATTCTCCCATCCGGGCATCTCTCAGCGGGCGGTATCCGTTTCGTGTTGAGCAGCTATCCAGAACTTCGCTGCAATTTTTCATAAATATATCTAGTTCGGGCAGCAATTTTAAGCAAAGACTTCGGTCACAACCTTTTTCCGATAAATAATATTAATTCTCCCTTCTTTCTCTCTCTCCAATCACTCTGGTTGTTTTGGTCTAGTTTTGCAGTGAGAAAGTTGCAATTATGAACAAAAATAGTACAATTAATGAATTAATTACATCCAATTTGAAATCACTGGTGAATGAATGAATTACATCCAATTTGAAATCACTGGTGGTCCCTTTAATCTGATTGGCTGTAATTAGTGCTATTTATTCACAAATTGCACCATGTTTTGGTCTAAATGGCATCATTTTACGCTTGACTGTGTTTTTGACACATGACGTCAAAGTCTTTCTGTTTTGCATACAAAATAAGATGTAAAAGCGTTTCCGGTTCCGCTTTTTATTTAAAACCGGCTCAGTACTGCATCAGTGAAATGCTTGAATTGACCTGTATTTGGGCGATTTAAAAATGAATGTGATAAAGTGGTAATTGAACTTCATGTCGTGCAATTTTGGTCGGAAATCATACTTGGGATTTCAAATCACGATAATGATTTCAGCTCAAATTGTACTCCACTCAGTTCAATTACCATTATTAATCGCACCGCCGAGAGCCCATCAGAGTGTAAGGATTCACTCCGCCCGCTCACGAGCCTCACGCCGTTAGCAACCAAAAAAAGTCTAGGTATCCAGCAGAGAACCCGTACTTTTAGTCCGCATTCTCTGCTGGATACCAGTGGCTTGCTTGGGTAAAATTTTTGATCGTATTTCGCTCCTAAACTGATAGAGGCGTCAACTTTTACACAATCATGTCATCATCCTATGGCGTGAAAAGGTAATTAAAGAAGCCGTATCCGAAAAAAGTGTACATGGCCGGCGCTTAAAAATAGTGACAAGACAAAGCGCTCGCCCGGAGTGTGTTGCGGCAGTTACAGTCACGTCGAAGAAACATTTCTTAGTCAATGCTTGCGGATTTAGTTAACTTCATTAATACTGACATAGGCTGCGACGCTTATTTACTACGACATTTAACTGGCGGCCTGAGTGTTTTGTTTTCTAATCAATTTTACCAGATTTTTGTTTTCGGATCGGAAACAAAGTAAATTCCAGAACCGACGACTTTTTTTCCGCTGTGTTCGGAATCTTTGACAGCTGACGCTTGGTGCTGTAATTTTTGAGCATCCGGTTACCAGTTATTGGGAATAAACTCGGCGTATTACAACCTATAATTTCTTTTGCTGTTTAACGCAGAGTCCACAATACATGGCGGCTTTTTCTCACTGATATTTTATGTCGCATTTATAGTTTACACACTGTTCCAGTTTTTTTAAACGATATTCATGCAGTACACATAAGATTCTTTGTCACTGGCCTTCATATGACCTATATTGGTGCCGGAATCCTCTAGATAGTTGCGAGAGATTACAGACATTATAGGTACGATGTGATTAACGCACTGGTGTTGAAAATCTCTTTGCGCTACCTCCTCCGCAACGATGATTAAAATCGTGAATAAACAGAGACCGGGGGTAATAATAATTGTTTTCAAATCAAGATAGATGTTGAACAAGCTGACAAAGCTTTTAAACAGACAAAGACCAACTTTCGTTTAATGACACGTTACGAACAAGTTTAAACTCCCTTGAACTTTAACAGGGTTCGTACTGTCTTGCAAGTCTGTTAATTTCAGGGCAAGTCCCCCAATGAATTTAACCAATCCTTAGAAAGTCCTTGAATTTTTATATTCTAAAAGCTTCTTGAGAGGGGTGGGACGTTGACTTTTTCCGAAAAACCAACTTTAAATACTGAGTCAAGCGCTGTGCGCTAGAGTGGTTTGGAAATTAACATAGAGCGCGGTAGATCCAGTAATGCGTTATTGACCAAGCAGGAAAACTCAAACCTGAGCCAAGCGATAAGAGCCAAGCGAGAGCTTGCCTGCAGGTTACACAAAGACAAAATGGCTGCAACGCTGGCCACCGCAGAAAACGAAAAATAAGCAAGGGTTAATAGCCAATCAGCTCACAGAATTCGCTGCATCTTGCACCGCTTGCGAAGCCAGCCATATAAAAAGGAAAGATAATACATCGGCGTAATATAACTCTTAAAGCAAGAATCTCTCCCAACATATTCATCTAAGGTAGTAAAAGTTTAAAATGTTATGAAAGCTGAAAAAGAAAGGGTTCCGGTGTCGCGCTTATTCAGAGTTACAAGTTTGAATGGCCAAGGGGTGGGCACTTATTCAAGGAAATACGGTATATCGATCACTTGAGGCTGTGCGCGTTACTTCGTGTTGTTTCATACTTTATATTATCTCATATTACCCAGTTTGTCAGGAAATCAATCGTCGTCGTGTGTTTACGCCCTACAAAAACGTCGCATCAGAG